TCTTACGAAAAAGTGAAACATTTCTCAACTTAAACCCTTTGTAATTAGAAAAGTAAATAACGTATGACTTTGAAATTGTCGGTACTGAAATAGAATTTTGTGTTCGATAATAGTTTAAAAACATTTATTCCAAAAGGTGAATTTAATTTTTAATTAATCTCCGTTCTGTGTGATTTAACCCCTTTGTGCGTCGGATATTCTTAAACTTGGTTTTAATATTATTTTAGAAATTTTTTAATATTTATTTGGATACTGCTTAAGATTTACAGCAATACTTCCAACCACAATTCAGACAAAACATGGAATCTTGATGCCAATATTTTATATGGATAATACATCACATTTCTTTTTTCATAACTAATCTCAAAATTTTCATATGTTGAATATAATGACGTATACGTATAGTTGGTTCTCAAGTATACATCAACCCCATGTATATGTGTATTCTATTATTTCATGTAGCTTTTATCAAGTGATAACATGGACCGCTATTTTGTGAAGATAGTATTTCACGAGCACTCCATAGTTTGTTATTCCATTCAACATACCATGGAAAGAAATTTCATGTCGAAACTACAAAGTATTTATTGATAAATCTCATGTACATCGAATGCTATTTGCGTATGAAAGAGGATTCAAGCTTTACTGTTGTATTTTGGGAACATGCATTGTTTTTTGTATTGCCTCTTGAAGTTCTCTCAATAATAGAGATTTGGTGGCATCATCTTTAGTTTTTCTTCTGAAACAATGTTGTCCTCACCATTGCTATCAATCTCAGCAACAAACAAAACACAACATCGTTGGGGAATTGCTTTTAAAAGTGACACAATTGTCCTAGCTCAATTCATTCCGTCGCTGAGTAGACATTAATATAGCCTTGGTCACTCTCACTTTCAATAAGCTACCCTAGTTTTGGTTTTTGTTTGAGTACAAATGTTTTTACAGTGTTCGTAATGTAAATTTTTTAGAAATTCTTTAAATCCCGAATTCGTTGAATATATTTGTATTTAGTTCTCACCAAAGGTCTGATTTTTGTTGATGCCGTCTTTTAAATTGATCTGAATGAAATGATCGTTTTCACATCGGATCGAATCGAACACACAGTTAGAATCACGTCACTTACAATTTAATTTGAGTGTTCGAGAGCGTTTTATGTGTTTAGCAACATGAGTTGATCGAACACGTGAATTAAAGTGAGCAATCACAACTGTGGTTTTTTTCTTTCAATCGGATTCGCTCAGCATCAGTATTATTCAAACATTCAATCAAGTTGAGGCAGTTTATTTTGATTTATATAATATTTGAAATGGAAGACTACCGAAAGTGTTGCAAGTAGAAACTACGAACTTTTTAGGCAAACGAAAGGTCGAAATTTTGTTTAAAAAATCATGACCAATATTGTAAAATAAAAACTACTGATGTGTTTGTTAATTAAAAAATATGATTTTGTTTTTAGAAATAAGTCACTGAAGTCTTACACAGCAAAATTCCAAATTATTGTCTGCTTATAATATAATTTATGTCAATTCTTTAATGGGGATTGTTTTTAGTTATGAAATGCTTAGTAAAATTACAATCATGATTTCGCTCAGGTTCGATCATTTGTGTTTTAATAAAATCAAATCACTCATTTAACTAAGATGAATCAGACCGATCACATTCATCATCTACATCAACATTAGTTCGTAAACAATTCACTCATGTGAACTGTTTGATTATGAACACAGAGCTTAGATCAGTCCAGGTTTGCTTCACAACTTTTTCGTTTCGCTTGAGCAACTCGAATAAACACGTTACATCTGACCGACTGATTGAGTTTGATTTTATTTCCACTATGTGTTATCAAGCCTTATCAATCATACTCATTGCAACTCGCAGTTCGCCAAAAATTACCACTTTTCAACCATGTACGAGAAGCCGCAGCAGTTTTTAAGGCCATCTGTTTTATTTCACATTTTGAATCGAAAAACAAAAGAAAACTAAACTTAATAAAAGAAAGAAAATAGACAAATGTTGCATAGAGATTGTATTGATTTTATCCACAAAATAGATCACAGTTTTAAAAAGTTTTACATTGTTGCAGTTCTGGAACTACATGTCATTTTTTATTCTAGAAATTTCGTTATCTTATTACACGTTGTACATATGCATATATGGTTATGTGAATTCCGGTAACTTCTAAAAATTTCTAAGTTGTCTGTCAATAATTATCTACACTAACTTTTTGTATCTTTGAATCGACGTGGTAAAATATTGGTAAATCACACGTTCGTAGGAGTGACCACTTTTCTTCGTGCCACTATGCTATTGATATCATTAATTATACGTTATGGGGGACTTTTTATACCCTCCACCATACTATGGAGGGTATATTAACTTTGTCATTCCGTTTGTAACTCCTCGAAATACTCATATCAGACCCAACAAAGTATATATATTCTTGATCAGCGTAAAATTCTAAGTCGATTTAGCGATGTCCGTCTGTCTGTCTGTCCGTCTGTCTGTCTGTCTGTCCGTCTGTCTGTCTGTCTGTCCGTCTGTCTGTCTGTTGTAATCACGCTATCTTTCGAATGAATTGAGATAGGTGGCTAACATTTTGCACACATGTTTATTTTTCCAGTAAGCAGGTTAAGTTCGTAAATGGGCCATGTAGGTCCACGTTTTCATATAGCCCCCATATAACGGTACCTCCCTATATTCGGTATTTTGATGATTTTAGCGACATTATTCACGGGAATTGTTTTAAATTTGGTATTTGAAGTTCAAAATGGATACTACACCCTAAGACGGAGAATTATCCGTGCAGGTCCAGGTCTTCGTATAGCCCCCATATAACGGTACCTCCCGATATTCGGTATTTTGATGATTTTAGCGGCATTATTCACGGGAATTGTTTCAAATTTGGTATTTGAAGTTCAAAATGGATACTGCACCCTAAGGCGGAAAATTATCCGTGCAGGTCCACGTCTTCGTATAGCCCCCATATAACGGTACCTCCCTATATTCGGTATTTTGATGATTTTAGCGACATTATTCACCGGAATTGTTTTAAAATTGGTATTTGAAGTTCGTTTTGGGAACTACAGTCTGTGACAGAAAATTGTCTGTGCGGGTCCAGCTCTTCGTATAGCCCCCATATAACGGTACCTTCCTATATTCGGTATTTTGATGATTTTAGCTATATTGTTCACCGTTTATTTCAAGTTTCGAATTTGAATATGGTAATGGCTTATAACCACAATGCCTATGTATGTCCACGTCGTATAGACCCCAAAATAACGGCTATATTCGGTATTTTTAAAATTTTAACAGAATTTTTTAAGGATTTTATTTTTTGAAAATTTCCAAATTCGTTGCAAATGGTGGAGGGTATTAAAAGTTCGGCCCGGCCGAACTTACTGCTCTTTAACTTGTTCAAATTGTTTTTTTTTTAATTGTTTTAATACCACACACCAAAATGTTTATGAAACAGGATTTATAGTAATACTTGCAACCGCACAATTCAGGCAAAATATTAAATTTTAATGCCAATATATTAAATGGATAATACATCACCTTGCGTATATCAATAATAATCTAAGAATTTTCAAAAATATCTCATTATTCTACATTAAAACACCAGTAAGAAAGTCTTAAAGTCGGGCGGGGCCGACTTGGGCCAACAAATGATTTGTGCAAAATTTCATCTGGATAGGGCAATAAATGCGAACTGTACATTGTTTACAAAAATACATGGACAGACGGACGGATGGAAATGCATAAATCGAGTCAGAATGTGATTCTATGCAGATCATTAAAAGGAACTATGGGTCTATCTCGGTTCCTTTTGACTGTTACAAACAAATGCACAAAGACATAGTACAATGACCACCTTGTGGTGAAGGGTATAACAAGTAAATAAAAAGAATGAAAAATGTTGTTTAGAGATATGATACTGGTAGTAATGAAATTAATGTTTACCTATATCGAAAACTACGTTTGCTTTACAACGTGAACGCATAAATTCGATTTAATAAATGTTTATATACCCTTCACCATAGCATGAAGCATTCCGTTTGTAATACCCCGAAATAAAAATGTTAGACCACACAAAGTGTATTTATATTTCTAATAAGCATAAAACTCTATGTAGATTTAGCGATGTCCGCCCGTCTGTCTCTCTGTCTATCCGTTTGTGGAAATCACTCTAGCTTTCGAACAAACCTACTTCATGGTTGATAAAATTTTACTCAGATGTGTTTTAGGTCTGCAGGACGTTTGGTATTGAAAATGGCCCAAGTTGCTCCACGTTTTGATATAGCCCGCATATAACTAGATTTAAGTTGTTTTAATAATTTGTGTAACACTTTTCACCGGAATTGTTTCAAATTTGGTATGTGGAGTTCGCAATGTGGACTACCTCTTATGATAGAAAAATGTCTATATAGGACTACATCTTCGTATAGCTCCCATATAAATGTACCACCTTATATGCGGTATTTTGACGATGGAGTTCGCAGTTCATATAAAGTTCATATTATATTCAGTATTTTAATAATTGTAGGTATACTTTGTATTTTTTTAATTTCCTTCCAGACAGTGGTAGTTCGACCAGGCCGAACTTTTTTACTTGTTATAGTATCAATGCAGTCAGATAGTAAGGATCATAAGGGACGTAAAATACCTTAATTTTCCCTAGCTTTAGTTGGCGGAGGATTTTGTTACCTCTCTACCCAAAGTACTTAAAACCATTTTTCTTCTAAAATGTCGTTTCCTTACTCTTTGTACACATACATGTATAATTATGTACATTGTAGAAAGTAATACTAAATAAGTTGTTCATACATCATTCTCCACACTATTTTTTTTTTGTGTTATAGAATTGACATGGTAAAATATTCGTTAAACACGTGTTAGTAGAAGTGACACAACACCAAACCACTTTTCTTCATGCCGATATGCTATTGACACCATTAGTTATACATTATGAGAGACTGCTCAAACTTAAATAGTTCTTATACCATGTTATGTATATGTTACGAGATTTACAGTAATACTTTCAATAATACAATTCAGCCAAAATACGAAAACTTGATGCCAATATTTTAAGTGGACAATACATCGCCTTGGTAATTCCATTACTGATCCAAAAATTTTCAAACTCATTTAATTGTTCCTCATTAAAACATAAGTATAATATAATGACATGACATGACAATGATATTTATAGTTGGTTCGAAAGTATACATCAATCCCATGTACATACGAATGCTATTACTTCATAAAGCTTGCATCAAGTGATAACATGCAAACAATATTTCATGGGTGAATTTTATTTGTTATTACCTCTAACATACTAAGGAAGGTATATTAACTTAACATTGCGTTTGTAACACCTCTTTCATTAATTTCTCTCCACTTGTTATACATTCATTTACCTGAGCGAAACGACTTAACATGAAAACTTTAAGTCAATTTTCGAATAAAGAGATGTGAAAGGTCAAACTCATTAAAAACTACCACTTTTCTTATATAAATGCATTCTATATAAGTAAATAGTTTCTTATTTGCGTGTATACGGCTGCACAATTTGTCGCAAATTGTTCTTGAAAAATGTATTACCAATTGAAATGCTGTCAATATTCTTATATAAAATTATTCTGAAGGTGATTTTCCGATATTTTGTTATAAACGTGTTACTTATGGGCATTAACCTCCCATGTGCAATAACCTATATGGAGGGTATATCGATCCGTTTGTAACTTCTGGAAATTCTCATGTAATACCCTACAAAGTATATATATTCTGGATCGGCGTACAACTTTAACTCTATTTAGCGATGCCCATCTGTCTGTCTGTTCGTCTGTCTGTTTTAATCACGCACAATGGACCACGTCAGTCCAAGGTTTATAAAGGTACCTGTTGACATTATCTTTTTGATGATTTAAGGCACACTTACTAACGAAACAAGAAACATTTTCTTACCAAAGTGTTTCAAATTTGTGTTTTTATACTCGCAATAGGTACCCACCACTGTAGCATAAATTGTTTGCATGAGTCCTATTTATTTTAAACCCCCATTTAGCGGTACCTGCCGATATTTTATATTCCGATTATTTTAGCCTAGCAGTAACGAGCCAAAAATTTGGGAGCATTTCCAACGTAAAGTTTCTTTTGAAGTCGTTAATCCGAGCAATTAAGAAGGTCCGGTATCCGCAATGTAAAACAATTTCAAATCTATACTCTATGGTTATTACAAAACACTGTAAGTTGCTTCGCTTACATTACATTAAATTAACTACTATTGATGCGCAACTTTTTTCCGAATCGTCCCAAAACCCTATTTTTTGCATCCAACTGTTATACCTTTAAAACATTATCAAAGTAAGCATTTTATAAATTATCGTTCCCACTAATTATTTATACCCCCACCATGGACAGGAGAATATATCAAATTTATCATTCCGTTAGCAACACCTCGATATATTCGTCTTAGATTCTTGGTAATATCAGATTCTTGGTATAATCACGATTAGCATAAAAGTCGATTTAACGATGTGCGTCCGTCGAAATCACGATGACGTCACATTATTTCAAGTAGAGCTTTGCAATTTGGCACAATAAATTGAACCGAAAAAGATAACAGTCCTTGTAGTTGAAAATTGTTCCCGCTAAAAAATGAATCTTTATAAAGGCTCCACACAATTCATCTTTTACCGATCTCACTGATATTTGCAGACTAAAGTGGAAATCCAAATACTTTTATTTAAAAATGTTTGTTTTCCTTATGGTGAAGGGTATTGAAAATTCGGCCCGACCGAAGCTAATGTTTTTATACTCTCCACCATAGTATGGAGGGTATATTAAGTATGATATTAATGATATTGATTTTGTAACATTTTTATGATAATAATAGTATTTTTAGGCACTTTACTTATTTAATTATTATTTTTCGGCTTTTAACGTGCTTATACTTGTTATTGACTTGGATAGTAATATGTATATAATACCTGTTTGTATCCGTTTTACTACAACACTTCGTGCCAATACATTATTGGCGATAAGAGATTCTTTCATTCAACTTGCTTTAAATATCATCATATTTAGCTTAAAATCAATACTGTCAACAATAAAAAGGAATCATAATAAGAATATTCAAAATGTATACAACGCCGTGGATACTTCAACATTAATGTAATAAGTTTCCAAGTTACTAACACAGTACTGACTGAAACACAAATTTATCACACAATTGAAAAATGCTTATATATATATATATATATATATATATATATATATATATATATATATATATATATATATATATATATATATATATATATATATATATAAGACATTTTTATTATAGAATTTTTTTTGATGATTTTAGCGTCATTAATCACCGGAATTGTTTCAAATTAGTATTTGGACCTCGTTATGGGAACTACAGTCTGTGACAATTGTGAGAATTGTCTATGCAGGTCCAGGTCTTCATATAAGCCCACATACCAGTACCTCTTTATATTCGGTATTCTGACGAGTTTAGGTACAATACCCACCGAAATTGCTTGAGACGCGTATTTGAAGATCGTAATCGATGCTACAGCCTATGACAGCAAATTGTCTATGCTGGTCCAGGTCTTCGTACAGCTCCGATATAAGGGTACCTCCCTATATACGATATTTTGATGATTTTAGCTACATTATTCACCCTTTATTTCAAGTTTCGAATTTGAATGTGGTAATGATTTATGACAAACAATGCCTGTGTAGGTCCACTCGTATAGACACCAATATAACAACTATATTCGGTGTTTTTGAAATTTTAACAGGATTTTATTTCCAAATTCGTTCCAAATGGTGGAGGGTATTCAACGTTCGGCCCGACCGAACTTACTGCTTCTTAACTTGTTTTATTATTATTTGTGTTATTGAATCGACATGGTAAATATTTGTTAAGCACATTTTCGTAGCAGTAACACTACACCAAACCAAATTTTATTCGTGCCAATGTGCTATTGATACCACTAGTTATACAATATGGGAGACACCTCAAACTTAAATTATTTTTATACCATATGTATATTTATGAAACAGGATTTACAGTAATACTTTCAAACTTAAATTATTTTTATATCACATGTTTATTTATGAAACAGGGCTTACAGTAATACTTTCAACCATATAATTCAGCCAATGTGGAGTCTTTCTGCCAATATTTCAAATAGATAAAACATCACCTTGATTATTTCATTACTAATCTAAAAATTTTCAAACTTGTCTCATTGCTCCTCACTAAACATAAATTTTATAAAATATTTAAAGTTGGTTCGCAAGTCTACATCAAACCCATGCACATAAAAATGCGCAATATAACTTGCATCAAGCGATAACCTGAATGCATATAACTGTGTCGCTCTGTTTTGCTAAACAATATTTCACGGACGTAGCCTTATTTGTTATATCCTCTAACAATGTCAATTTTATTAATCTTCGAAATAATCGCGTTAGGCCCAACAAGCTAATATTAATGATCAACGTAAAATTCTAAGTCATTTAACACTTGCTGTCTCTTGTTATTAACAATAGACAGGATCACAAATGATCCACGTCAGTGCACGTTTTCCCATATCCCCATAGAGAGGTACATCTTAATATTTGTGTTCTTTTTTTTTGACAATCTGAGCCACATTTGTTTTGGATATTGTTTAAAATTCGAGTTTGTCCTCAGTTGCAGAGCATTGTCAATTTAGGTATGTTTTCCTTTAGCCCACATATAACTGTACCTCTCCAAGTATTTTTATTTTGACAATTGTTTTGCATTTAGTGTTGGTACTGGCTTCAATCCCGTTTGACGCATCATTGTATATATAGGTCCTTGATTTTCTATAGTTCTTACACAGTGCTACCTCCAGGTTTTAAGTATGTCTATAATTTCAAAAGCATTTTTAATTTAATTTTAATTTAAAAATTATATTGTAGAACCTCTTTCGTATTACGTAAACCATCCTCGATACATATTCTGCACTTTTTCCCCTTGGTTTCTGTGTTCTATTTGGAAAACTCCCCCAAAGCTTTTTATCGACACAACTACAATTTACGATATAAGTTCTGTATAACTATAAAACAGAAGGCACTCGAAAAGTTTCAAAAAAAAGTCCGCAGAATGATACCCCCTGAATTAAACCCGTTATTTAGGAGCTATACGAAGACTTGGATCCGCACACTATATTTTTTGTCTTAGGCTTTAATACCGATTCCGAACTTTAAATTCGAAATTTGAAACAATTCTGGTGAATTGTCAAACATCATCAAAATACCGAATAAAGGAAGTTACCGTTATATGTGCGTATAGGTCTTCGTTTTGCTATAACCTAACATATAATAGAGCCCATATTTTATATCGAATTTGTTTCAGAATCATTATTTGTAGTACAAAATGGATTCTGAAACCGATGTCAGAACATTGTGCATATTAGTCTAAGATTTTCATATAACGGAATTCACCGATGCTTGGCATTTTAATTATTCCAGCCAAATTTTTCTACGGTATTTTGAATTTGGTACTTAACAACCGAAAAAGATAACAATCCATGTAGTGGAAAATGGTTCCCGCTTAATAATGCCTCTTTATAAAAGCTCCACACAATTCATTTTTCATCGATCTCGCTGATATTTGAAGATTGAAGCGGAATCCAGATACTTTCATTTAAAACTGTTTTTACCTAATGGTTAAGGGTATTAAAAGTTCGGCCCGACTGAAGTTAATGTTTTTATATTCTTAACCATAGTATAGAGGGTGTATTAAGTTTGTCATTCCGAACGAAGAAGGTTAATGAAATTTTACTCAGATGTTTGTTTGGTACTGAGAATGAGGTATATCGGTCCACATTGTGGTACAGCGCCATATAACGGTACCTCCCTAAGTTTGATTGATTATTTTAGCGACATTATCGAACAGAATTGTTTCAAATTTCGTATCTGTAGTTCGTTATGGGTACTACAATTTGTGACAGAAAAGTGACTATCTCAACCTGACTATGACTCAACCTCTTCGTATAGCCCCCATATAGCTTTTTTTTTAATTCTTATTTGCAGTTCGCAAAGAGTACTACATCCTGTGACAGAAAACTGCATATGCAGGTCCACGTTTTCGTATATACGGTACCTCCCTATATTGGATATTTTGATGTTATTAACCGGATTTAATTTTTTCGTACACCTAAGTCTGTTTTTATACGGTTTTGATATAACACGGTTTGAAAATTGAATATTTTTAATGTTTTTTACACGATTTTATTCCATTTAGCACGATTTGAAATTTTATGTACTTAAATTTTTTTGTCAAATTTAATTTTTGCGAAGTATGTTCATATCAGAAAAAAGTATTTATGAAAGAAAAGTCTGAAACCATCGATAGTATCGATAGTTTGCGAACACTAGCTTAAAGATTTAAGTGAATTCCCCTTTAGCGCGTACAAACAATTGTTACTGGTCAAAGCAAATGTGAATAGCACTAATATAGGAGAATTCCCTTTATGTGCATACAATAAAATTTAATGGTCAGAGCAATTGAAACGTGTTAATATTTTGTGAACTGTCAATGCAATAAGACGTGTTTGGTAAAGAAAAAAATAAAAAAATTAAAAATTCTTGTTTTTCACTAATTTTAATAGGTTTTAGAGATTAGGAAAAAATCACCCATTTTTGTATAAGATCAATGTCTTTTTTTACACGGTTTTTTTTACACGGCTTCTTCTGGAACCAATCTACCGTGTAAAAACAGACTTAGGTGTATTTGAATATTGTAATGGCCTATGACAAAACTTGTCTTTGCAGGTCCACATCTTCGTATTCATATGACGGTTAGTCCCTTTATTTGGTATTTTTATGATATTAATGATATTGATATTGCAATATTTTTATGAAAATAATAGTATTTTTCTATGTACTTCATTTATTATTTTTTTGTTTTTAATTTCCGAATTCCTTCCAAATAGTGGAGGGTTTTCAAAGTTGGTATTGACTTGGATAGTACTATTTATATAACACATGTTTGTATCTGTTGTACTACAAAACTTTACTTCGTGCCAATACATTATTGGCACTATTAGTAATTGGCGGTAAGAGATTCTTTCATTCAACTTGTTTTAAATATCATCATAAAATCGATATTTTCAACCATAAAAAGCAATCTTAATAGGAATATTCAAAATGTATGCATCGCCGTGGTTACTTCAACACTAATGAAATAAGTTTCCAAGTCACGGTCCTGACTGAAACACAAATTTATAATAAAGATAAATTTAAACTGTTCGCCAAAACACATTCATCGTGATATATTCGAATTCTTTTCCTTGCGTGGTCTTTCTTAAATATCAATTATCATCAATTATTACACAATTGAACAATGCTAATGAAGATATAGTAATATCTTGGCTGTTATCTTTTTATATTACATATTTATAATGGTTTACAACTTCAAAATCGTAGTATTGACGGTATGCAACTCGCAGTGTGCTAATAATTACTTCTTACCAACAATGTTTGAGATATCGGAACATTTCCTTTTCTATTTTATATTGTGAATAAAAAAAAATAAATCTAATTTAATAAAATAAAAAATAGAGATATTTCGCTTAGATATTGCAATGTACACGAAATATTTTAAAGGCATAAATAAAAGTAATGTGTATTTATGTCTAAAGTTACGTTTACATTGCAATTGCCACAATTCGATTGAATTCATGCTTTTATTGTACCGAAGCATTCAGGTAGTAGGGATGAAAACCGGGCGGCAGGAGCTTATTACTTTCCTCCAGTTATCGGAAGATATTTTATCATCTTTACCCATAGAAATATAAGCAATGTTTATTTTAGATAAAATATTTGTTAAGCACATGTTCGTAGCAGTGACACTACACCAAAACACTTTTCTTCGTGCTAATACACTATTGACACCATTAGTTATACAATATGGGAAACTCCTCAAACTTAAATTATTTTTATACCACATGTATATTTATGAAACAGGATTTACAGTAATACTTTCAACCATATAATTCAGCCAAAATGTGGAATCTTTTTGCCAATATTTTATATAGATAATACATCACCTTGGTTATTCCATTACTAATCTAAACATTTGCAAACGTGTCTCATTGTTTCTTACTAAATATAAGTTTGATATAATAACATATTTATAGTTGGTTCGCAAGTCTACATCAAACCCATCCACATGAAAATGCTGCAATATAACTTGCATCAAGCGATAATTTGAATGCATTCAATTGTGTCGCTCTGTTTCGCTAAACAATTCCGAATTTGTATGAATCGTTAAAATCAGTCTAGCTGTTCTTAAGTTATAAGCGTAGTATCTAACACAACTTTTGATTGAACAACAATTGATTGATTATATACATATATATATATATATATATATATATATATATATATATATATATATATATATATATATATATATATATATATATATATATATATATATATATATATATATATATATATATATATATATATATATATATATATATATATATATATATATATATATATATATATATATATATATATATATATATATATAATTGGTTTTTGTTTGTAATGGTTGAAAACGGATGGACCGATTTGCATAATTTTTTGTGCAAACGTTCGTCATACCCCAAGTTATGTTTTTAAAGAAACCAGTAAAGAAAGTCCTAAAATCGGGCGGGCCCGATTTTATGATACCCTACACCACTTTGCTAATTTAGTTGAGCTCCACTTAATAATTAAAAGTTTTTATGGGAGAATTCAATCATACACCCTATGATTATAATTATAATTTAAAATTCAAAGGACTAAATCTGCCGAAGCATTTGTATCTTTTAAATTCGGACTTGTATAGCCCATTTGGAGCGAAATTAGTTTATATCCAAATCTGAACCGATCTCGACAAAATTCGGCAAAGATATTTCTGAGCTGTATTTGATATATTTCCCTGAATATCGTTGTTGGCTGTGGGTAACAAATACAATAAATCGGATGAACAATATATATGGGAGCTATAACTATATCTGAACCGGTCTTCACCAAATTTGGCATACTACCTTCTAGACTAAATTCGGTCGTATGTGCCAAATTTCATCCCATTTGGACAAATATTAGACGTTTGGTGCACAATAAATGGTAAATCGGACGAAGTTATATATGGGAGCTATATCCAAATCTGAACCGATCTCGATAAAATTTAGCAAAGGTATTTCTGAGCTGCATTTGATATATTTCCCCAAATATTGTTGATACAGAGTGCATATTACGGCTGCGGAGGACAAAAATAACAAATCGGATGAACAATATATATGGGAGCTATAGCTATATCTGAACCGATTTCGATAAAATTTGGCATACTTATTTTCAGGCCTAATTTGGTTGTATATGCAAAATTCCATACTATTCGGGCTGATATTACACGTTTGGTGCACAATAAAAGACAAATCGGACGAAGATATATATGGGAGCTATATCTAAATTTTTACCGATTATCTCCAATTTCAATAGGGTTCGTCCTTGGGCCAAACAAATGTTGTTTGCAAAATTTCATCTCAATCGGATAATAAATGCGATCTGCATTTTGTTCACAAGAATACATGGACAGACGGACGGACGGACGGACAGACGGACTGACATGCATAAATCAACTCAGAAAGTGATTCTATGCAGATCATCAAAAGGAACTATGGGTCTATCTCGTTTCCTTTTGCCTGTTACAAACAAATGCACAAAGACATAATACCCTGACCACCTTGTGGTGTAGGGTATAAAAAAATATATACCACGCCTCCTTTTACGTCCACTATTTTGATTTATCTAAAATCCTTATATTTCCCAAATAATGAAGATATATTTCCCTTAAGTATTTGTTTGGGGCTGAGGAACTGACCACGCCTACTTTTTAATCTATCTATACATCTATATATATATATATATATAAAAGAATGTTGTGTTAGTTACTACGCTTATAACTTAAGAACCGCTAAACTGATTTTAATGATTCATTCATATTCTGAATTGTCTCCTATCCGAAAAGGATAATATCCAAACAAAACGCGTAAAAATGTGATATATTAACATTTTCATTTTGACTTTTAAAAGGTACAATAGTGATGTTTTATTTTGCATGATTTTTTTCCATTTCGACTTACTTTTTTTCTAATGTACATTTGTAGTGTTTTTTATATTTTATTTTTGAATTCGAATATTAATACCAATTGACTTGATTTCTTGAGAACTGAAATTGATGGCGGGTTACATGGAAGTGTAGTACCGAATTATGTGGTGGCGAAACGGAATAGATGATATCGAAATAATTTAACGCGATCACACCAAAGTTAAAAGATAATTACTTTTTCAAAATCGCTAAAAAATCACGAAAAAGAGATCTCATTGAAAAATTTTCAAATCGGGAAAATATCGAAAAAAATTTTCAATGGAATTGAATTTTAAAATAAAAGTACATTCTATTGACAAACTTTGTAAGGATCTTTAAACAGTTGCTGTAAAAAAATCAGCGAACAAGTGGAAGATTTTTTCAACTTCTTATTCTTCTTTTGTAAATTTTTTTTCAATTTGTATTATCATATTGAATTCAGTGGATTTTTTGTGAACAAAATAAAGAATATGTTTTTACTATATACAATTTTTCACCAAAAAAATGAAATAAGTGCGAAATACGATGTTAACTGACATTTACCTTTCAACTCCAGGGCCTACATCGTGGTTCCGCTGCAAAATGCGAACACATTTAAACAAACAAAAATAACCGAAAAAAGCCTAATGGGGCTCATTTCAAAGCGTGGACCTACTTCTTTCATGTGACAATAATCCGTCCAATGAGAGCTCAATTTTTTTGGGAGTACAATCAGTAAAATACCAAATATAAAGGGTGCTAAATAGTAGAGCAAATGGGACTTTTAGTAAGAAAAGGACTGCTATCCTTCCAGAAAATCTTCCCGAATATTCAGAATACCTTAAATCGCTTTTGCAGGTCATGATATCGATCATATATAACCATCGTATGATTTAAGCTATCTTTGGGATCTTTGTCACTTTTTTCTATTTTTGGTCCTTATTTGGTATCTTTGTTTCTAAGGGGATAGAGAACCTCTTCGCATAAGATTTCCGGAGTAGAGCCCACATTGGCCTTGACCACATTCATCAATTGATTTGGCTAAAAAATTGTATTTATGCTACCCTGGGGTAAGGAACCAGATAGATAATTGCCACAAAAAATTGTATTTATGCTACCCAGGGGTAAGAAACCATCATACAGATAATTGCCACATAGAAGTTTTTTTAATTAAAGTCCCCACATTGGAGTATCGCCAAGTCCACTTTCACATCTAATGTGTAGTCAGAAAAGAGAATTTTGAATTCTATTGAATTTGTAACCCCCAAGAGAATATTGGTTGGGAACGTAGATTTGGGATGTACATCTATATGAAATAAATTGTGAAAACATGAACAAATTACAAATATAAGAAAGTAGCACGGGACCGAATATTTGTTGAATCGTCATTGAATTATACTATGATGAAAAATATGGACTTTATGGGGTCTCCAAATTACAATTTAAATGACAAATAAAATTAGTTCCCATCTTACGGTAATGGGTGTAAAATAGTATTTATGTTTGACTATTCTGAAATCAGTTTGCCCTCAATTATGAGGTGGATAAAACTATTTTTGCTTATTTAAATCACGTGAATTTTTTTTCAGTGTGACATGCTATGTTTTCCTGCTATATTTTTGATTTGGCCTCTATTTGTCATCTTGGATTATAAGGGGTGAAGAAAGTTTTCAATGTAGGTCGATATTTCGCAGCAGTGCCCATATAAAGGTACTTCCTTATTTTACCATATTTCGAAGGATTTGGCTAAAAATGTGTATTTGGGGGGGGGGGGGGGGGGGGGGGTGAAAATCTTACACAAAAATTTAAACATTAGAATTTTCTCCATGTAATAGTACCCCCTCAAGTCCACCTTTTGGCGGACAAACAGACCGATATGGTTAGGGGGACTTATGAGGACCCTAATGCTCAATCTGGTCTTTCTTAAATATCAATTATCATCAATTATTACACAATTGAACAATGCTAATGAAGATATAGTAATATCTTGGCTGTTATCTTTTTATATTACATATTTATAATGGTTTACAACTTCAAAATCGTAGTATTGACGGTATGCAACTCGCAGTGTGCTAATAATTTCTTCTTACCAACAATGTTTGAGATATCGGAACATTTCCTTTTCTATTTTATATTGTGAATAAAAAAAATAAATCTAATTTAATAAAATAAAAAATAGAGATATTTCGCTTAGATATTGCAATGTACACGAAATATTTTAAAGGCATAAATAAAAGTAATGTGTATTTATGTCTAAAGTTACGTTTACATTGCAATTGCCACAATTCGATTGAATTCATGCTTTTATTGTACCGAAGCATTCAGGTAATAGGGATGAAAACCGGGCGGCAGGAGCTTATTACTTTCCTCCAGTTTTCGGAAGATATTTTATCATCTTTACCCATAGAAATATAAGCAATGTTTATTTTAGATAAAATATTTGTTAAGCACATGTTCATAGCAGTGACACTACACCAAACCACTTTTCTTCGTGCCAATACACTATTGACACCATTAGTTATACAAACTTAAATTATTTTTATACCACATTTATATTTATGAAACAGGATTTACAGTAATACTTTCAACCATATAATTCAGCCAAACTGTGGAATCTTTTTGCCAATATTTTATATAGATAATACATCACCTTGGTTATTCCATTACTAATCTAAACATTTTCAAACGCGTCTCATTGCTCCTCACTAAATATAAGTTTGATATAATAACATATTTATAGTTGGTTCGCAAGTCTACATCAAACCCATCCACATGAAAATGCTGCAATATAACTTGCATCAAGCGATAACCTGAATGCATTCAACATGCATGTGTCGCTCTGTTTCGCTAAACAATTCCGAATTTGTATGAATCGTTAAAATCAGTCTAGCTGTTCTTAAGTTATAAGCGTAGTAACTAACACAACTTTTGATTGAACAACAATTGATTGATTATATATATATATATATATATATATATATATATATATATATATATATATATATATATATATATATATATATATATATATACAACAAAAGAAAAATAAATTTAATTTAATAAAATATAAAATAGGGATATTTCGCTTAGATTTTGCAATGTACACAAAATATTTTAAAGGCATAAATAAAAGTAATGTGTATTTATGTCTAAAGTTACGTTTACATTGCAATTGCCACAATTCGACTGAATTCATGCTTT